CAAGCTCCCTCCTTGATGTCGCCTGTGTAACTCATTGTGGCCTGGCCTCCCCTCTGTTGTTTTGAGGTATTTCAGGCTCACAGCCAGAATAGACACACACACACACACACACACACACACACACACACACACACACACTGGCCAACACATTGGGAGAGAAGGTTCTGGAGGACACTCCCTGTTTTATACCTGAGGCTGTAGAGGACAACGCACTGCATTGTGTTCTCACCCATCTTCCATTAGTGGCAGGCACAAGGCACAGAGGAGAGGGAGACCATGGGCTGTAGTCTTACAGAGAGGTGGTTTTCAATTCTAGCTCTCCTACCCACTGACTGCAGGGCCCTGGGCCTGGTGCCGGGGCTCATGTTCGTAACTCCCGAGTAGATATCGTGTGGTTAGCTTTCATCGTTTTGTGAGGCTAGCATGAGTTGCTTGAGAATTTTATATATGATTTTCTTACTCTTTGCTGAGTCATTCACACTGAGTCTGAGGTAGAAAGGGCAAGGATTAGCACCTCCATTTAGAGGAAAGGAAATTAAACCTCAGGGATGATAAATGACCCATCTGTGGCAGAACCAGGTTTAGACTCGGGCCTCAGCGCAGCCTTGGGCTTCGTTCTCGGTGCTCTGGGGGGCATCTTGCTCGCTCTCCTCCTGAGAACAGCCCCTGAGCTCAGTGATGGGCAAGAACAAAGACCAGGGCAGGGCAGTCTCATCCACATCACTGCCAATCCACCTGTCGCCCTGCCTTTCAGCAGGGTGCTGGCTTATCATTATTATTATTATTTGCTTTTAAAGCAATGAGGTATTTCTGGATACCGAAGCCACCCAGAAAACCTTACAGCCAATACCATCTTGAGTAATTGCTGAGATCAGGAATAACCACCTTTTTCCCTGCCTGCTGACCCACGGTCTCACCTTCCCAGGTGCTAGGACACACCTCCTGGGAACACGGATTACCTTTTCAGGGTCCTAGGTTGTTTTGTTTTCGACTTTCTCTGTCACTCAGGAGCTGACTTTTTCAGCTCTGACCATGGCCCTGAATCTCATTTGCCGTCCGGAAGCAGCTATGGTTGCAAGTGGAAGTCTAATGATGATCTTGAGCATCAGAGGATAAAGAAGAGCTTCTGATGGTTTTGACATAGAACCCATAGCTGGTCCCCAGGGCCCACGTCACATGTCTTAGCACCTTACTGAGAGGGTCCTGTGGCCTGTCTGGATGCTGCTGCCATGCTGGAGGTTGGAGCCCATGCTAGCGCTGTCGCCACCACAGTGGTGGCCCACTGCCCTTGCCATGGTCCAGGGTGAGTTCCCTAGTGACTCTAGTAGGCCTGGTGCCTGGGCAAGGGTGGAAGGCAACGTGAGGAGCACAGGCATGGCGTGAGAAAGACCTCCTCTAGTTCTGACTCTGCAGTATCCACTGGAGCTCGTTAATCTCGCACCTGGAGAACTGTGAGAATGGTACCAGCCCCAGGAGGTGTGAAGGTTGAATATGATGCACATAGCTCCACGAGGTCTGACTCGACCCGCCTTTTCATGGCTCCAGCTGTTGCATGTAGAGCAGCGGCCCCCACTCAGTGACTGCAATGGCAGAGTGCCGTGCCTGGAACACGGTAAGTGTAAGCTCCGCCGTCCATTATGCGCTTCCCCACTGCTGGCAAAACGAACACAGGTGTCCCTCGTTCTATTGCGCTTCATTTCACTGTGCTGTGCAGATACTGACTTGTCATCAACGTGGAGGCAACACCCTCCCCAGCAAGATTGTGACATGCTGAAGGCTCAGATGATTGGTAGCATTTTTAGCA